AGAATGGGGGCGTGCTCAGTCCTCTTTTTTTTCCTGTAGTCCACAATCATCTCCTTTGTCTTGGTCATGTTGAGGGAGAGGTTGTTATCCTGGCACCACACGGCCAGGTCTCTGACCTCCTCCCTATAGGCTGTCTCATCGTTGTCGATGATCAGGCCTACCACTGTTGTGTCGTTGGCAAACTTAATGATGGTGTTGGAGTCGTGCCTGGCCATGCAGTCATGGGTGAACAGGGAGTACATGCTCGGAGTACATGTCCTGGTAATCCGTCTGGCCCTGCGGCCTTGTGAATGTTGACCTGCTTAAATGTCTTACTCACATCGGCTACGGAGAGCGTGATCACATAGTCATCCGGAACAGCTGGTACTCTCATGCATGCTTCAGTGTTGCTTGCCTCAAAGCGAGCATAGAAGTGGTTTAGCTCGTCTGATAGGCTTGTGTCACTGGGCAGCTCGCGGCTGTGCTTCCCTTTGTAGTCTGTAATAGTTTTCAAGCCCTGCCACATCCGACGAGCGTCAGAGCCGGTGTAGTACGATTCAATCTTAGTCCTGTACTGACTCTTTGCCTGTTTGATGATTCGTCGGAGAGCGTAGCGGGATTTCTTATAAGCGTCCAGGTTAGAGTCCTGCTCCTTGAAAGTGACAGCTCTACCCTTTAGCTCAGTGCGGATGTTGCCTGTAATCCATGGCTTCTGGTTGGGGTATGTACGTACGGTCACTGTGGAGACGACGTCATCAATGCACTTATTGATGAAGCCAGTGACTGATGTGGTGTACTCCTCAATGCTATCTGAAGAATCCCAGAACATGTTCCAGTCTGGGCTAGCAAAACAGTCCTGTAGCTTAGCATCTGCGTCATCTGACCTCTTTTTTATTAACCGAGTCACTGGTGCTTCCTGCTTTAGATTTTGCTTATAAGTTATGGTCAGATTTGCCAAATGGAGGGCGAGGGAGAGCTTTGTATGCGTCTCTGTGTGTGGAGTAAAGGTGGTCTAGAGTTTTTTTCCCTCTGGTTGCACATTTAACATGCTGGTAGAAATAAATAACCTTAATGGTCGTGGCTTGTCTAGGAAGGATTAGAAGTCTACATTTCCTATTCTGCACTAGTATCACACCAGCCCTCACTTTACATATACAGTGGGGGGAAAAAGTATTTAGTCAGCCACCAATTGTGCAAGTTCTCCCACTTAAAAAGATGAGAGAGGCCTGTAATTTTCATCATAGGTACACGTCAACTATGACAGAGAAATTGAGGGAAAAAAAATCCAGAAAATCACATTGTAGGATTTTTTATGAATTTATTTGCAAATTATGGTGGAAAATAAGTATTTGGTCACCTACAAACAAGCAAGATTTCTGGCTCTCACAGACCTGTAACTTCTTCTTTAAGAGGCTCCTCTGTCCTCCACTCGTTACCTGTATTAATGGCACCTGTTTGAACTTGTTATCAGTATAAAAGACACCTGTCCACAACCTCAAACAGTCACACTCCAAACTCCACTATGGCCAAGACCAAAGAGCTGTCAAAGGACACCAGAAACAAAATTGTAGACCTGCACCAGGCTGGGAAGACTGCATCTGCAATAGGTAAGCAGCTTGGTTTGAAGAAATCAACTGTGGGAGCAATTATTAGGAAATGGAAGACATACAAGACCACTGATAATCTCCCTCGATCTGGGGCTCCACGCAAGATCTCACCCCGTGGGGTCAAAATGATCACAAGAACGGTGAGCAAAAATCCCAGAACCACACGGGGGGAACTAGTGAATGACCTGCAGAGAGCTGGGACCAAAGTAACAAAGCCTACCATCAGTAACACACTACGCCGCCGGGGACTCAAATCCTGCAGTGCCAGACGTGTCCCCCTGCTTAAGCCAGTACATGTCCAGGCCCGTATGAAGTTTGCTAGAGTGCATTTGGATGATCCAGAAGAGGATTGGGAGAATGTCATATGGTCAGATGAAACCAAAATAGAACTTTTTGGTAAAAACTCAACTCGTTGTGTTTTGAGGACAAAGAATGCTGAGTTGCATCCAAAGAACACCATATCTACTGTGAAGCATGGGGTGGAAACATCATGCTTTGGGGCTGTTTTTCTGCAAAGGGACCAGGACGACTGATCCGTGTAAAGGAAAGAATGAATGGGGCCATGTATCGTGAGATTTTGAGTGAAAACCTCCTTCCATCAGCAAGGGCATTGAAGATGAAACGTGGCTGGGTCTTTCAGCATGACACTGATCCCAAACACACCGCCCGGGCAACGAAGGAGTGGCTTCGTAAGAAGCATTTCAAGATCCTGGAGTGGCCTAGCCAGTCTCCAGATCTCAACCCCATAGAAAATCTTTGGAGGGAGTTGAAAGTCCGTGTTGCCCAGCGACAGCCCCAAAACATCACTGCTCTAGAGGAGATCTGCATGGAGGAATGGGCCAAAATACCAGCAACAGTGTGTGAAAACCTTGTGAAGACTTACAGAAAACATTTGACCTGTGTCATTGCCAACAAAGGGTATATAACAAAGTATTGAGAAACTTTTGTTATTGACCAAATACTTATTTTCCACCATAATTTGCAAATAAATTCATTACAAATCCTACAATGTGATTTTCTGGATTTTTTTTCTCATTTTGTCTGTCATAGTTGACGTGTACCTATGATGAAAATTACAGGCCTCTCTCATCTTTTTAAGTGGGAGAACTTGCACAATTGGTGGCTGACTAAATACTTTTTTCCACCACTGTATTTACTTTTTTAGCCAAGCATTCAGATCTTCTTCTCCCAGAGGATGAAAAATTAGGTAACACCTTGGCAACACACAGTACTCCAGGTAAGACCTGCCAATCATCTCAGTGGGAAATTCACTGTCTACCTTGTTTTGTATTCTGAGTGGATGACTGTGCTGTACGGATAGAAGATGACAGAGCTACAGCCTACAGCACAACATTTTACCTGCTCTCTTTGTAGTCTTTTTTTGGATTTGCACACACTATTGTTTTGTTTGGATTCATTGGTAATCTCTGTCTTTAGGTGCTGTGGCATTGGTCATCTCTGCCTTTAGGTGCTGTGGCATTGCTAATATCTGTCTTTAGATGCTGTGGCATTGGTCATCTCTGTCTTTAGGTGCTGTGGCATTGGTCATCTCTGTCTTTAGGTGCTGTGGCATTGGTCATCTCTGTCTTTAGGTGCTGTGGCATTGGTCATCTCTGTCTTTAGGTGCTGTGGCATTGGTCATCTCTGTCTTTAGGTGCTGTGGCATTGGTCATCTCTGTCTTTAGGTGCTGTGGCATTGGTAATCTCTGTCTTTAGGTGCTGTGGCATTGATAATCTCTGTCTTTAGGTGCTGTGGCATTGGTAATCTCTGTCTTTAGATGCTGTGGCATTGGTCATCTCTGTCTTTAGGTGCTGTGGCATTGGTCATCTCTGTCTTTAGGTGCTGTGGCATTGGTCATCTCTGTCTTTAGGTGCTGTGGCATTGGTCATCTCTGTCTTTAGGTGCTGTGGCATTGGTAATCTCTGTCTTTAGGTTCTGTGGCATTGGTAATCTCTGTCTTTAGATGCTGTGGCATTGGTCATCTCTGTCTTTAGGTGCTGTGGCATTGGTCATCTCTGTCTTTAGGTGCTGTGGCATTGGTCATCTCTGTCTTTAGGTGCTGTGGCATTGGTCATCTCTGTCTTTAGGTGCTGTGGCATTGGTCATCTCTGTCTTTAGGTGCTGTGGCATTGCTAATCTCTGTCTTTAGGTGCTGTGGCATTGCTAATCTCTGTCTTTAGGTGCTGTGGCATTGCTAATCTCTGTCTTTAGGTGCTGTGGCATTGCTAATCTCTGTCTTTAGGTGCTGTGGCATTGCTAATCTCTGTCTTTAGGTGCTGTGGCATTGCTAATCTCTGTCTTTAGGTGCTGTGGCATTGGTCATCTCTGTCTTTAGGTGCTGTGACATTGGTCATCTCTGTCTTTAGGTGCTGTGGCATTGGTAATCTCTGTCTTTAGGTGCTGTGGCATTGGTATTCTCTGTCTTTAGGTGCTGTGGCATTGGTATTCTCTGTCTTTAGGTGCTGTGGCATTGGTAATCTCTGTTTTTAGATGCTGTGGCATTGGTATTATCTGTCTTTAAGCGCTGTGGCATTAGTAATCTCTGTTTTTAGGTGCTGTGGCATTGGAAATCTCTGTATTTAGTTGCTGTGGCATTGTTCATCTCTGTCTTTTGTCCTGTGGCTGATAGCCTCAACTTGCAGTGTCAGTTAAAGATGGAAATGGTCTTATGACTATCAGGGTATGCAATGAAATAATGCATTATTAAGAGTCAAAAATATCAAAGAGTTGCAGTAATCCACAGTGGATTAAAACGTCACACTAAGTCATCACGTAACAGCAATAAAACACATCACACCTCCATGTCAAGCATATGCAAAAACATTTATTAAACAAGGGCTAGCAAAATATACAGTACGATCAAGATAAGTATTTTCAAGAAGTTACATGAAAGCCTCTGAATTCAGCTTTGGTTCTTAACTCTCTCATCATCGACACATAAAAGAGGCTGGTTTCTTCCTGTGTCTCCATGAAAAACAATCTCCAGGAAATACAGCTCCCTCCCTGCTCAATGTCATCCACACACATCAGCACAACAAGTACAAGTTTCTCTCAAACACTAATAATATGTGCCAAATGCTAAACCTATGATAACCACAAGTTACAACTACCTAAAAAGCTCTATCTAAAAACTTGATTTCATAACATCTATTTTGGATTGTTCTGTGCAAGTATTGTGATTGTCTGAAACGGTTGATGATATATGATACCTAACATTCTGTTTTTCCTGAGCCTTCCATTTACTTCCAAATGTGTTTTTCTATTTCTGTTTCTAGGAATAAAGCAGCAGGGCAGGTTTCGAGAGTAAGAGAACGAGCCCAGCGGCCAAAACTGGTTGCAATGACATAATTTCAACTGCTTTGTCCTCTGGGAGTCTGTTTTGGAGAGGGAAGGAGAGGAAGCCCACTCAGGCTTCAGCAGAGGTAAGTGAGGTCGCTCTTCCTACAGCCCACCTGGCAGCACATGGTGGTCAGCATGTTGTTCAGGTCCCGTCTGCTGAACTCTGACCCCAGACTGGCCTTCAGGTCCTCCAGATTGCTCGGACTCTTCTCCTCATTGGCCAAACCTGCGCATGACATCACACATCAGGAAGCTCAAGTCATAAAATGATTTCACATAATGAAATATGGTATTACAGTCTGATATGAATCTAGTATTTCGTACAGTCACTCATCAATAAATCAGCTTGGAAAGACAGTCAACATAAAAATGCATAGAAATGCTATCTGTCCAAATTGAAGTTCATTTTCTCAAATTGAAGTTCTTATTTTGCTCAGAGGATGTGTGTGTGACTGTCTGTGCCTGATATCTTATCTGTAGTCTATGCTCAACAATGTAATTGCTGTACATGTACCTGTCAAATGAGGAAAGCCCCAAATGTTTTGCCTGGTGCTATCAGTCTTGTCCAGTATCTGTGCCTCTTACTGGTTTTAATGAGCATGGTTAATATGCTAACTGGGTTAGCCTGCTGTCATCTGCCCACTGGGAACAGACTGGCCCTGATAGCATCAGCATCATAATCAGATGATAAGAGGTGGGTTCCACTGGCCTGTAATGTTCCAGAGAACAGGACTGCATAATAGACCTCCATAACCCAGTCAGAGGAGCAACTGCCTGCCTGACACTGCATGCATGCCTGCCTTCCTGCCTTTCTGACTGCCTGCCTGCCTGCCTGAATGCCTGCCCACCTGCCTGCCTTCCTGCCTGTATGCACACGCACTGGATCAGTATCACTATACATTGCTGCAGACAGACGTCATCACTGACTCAAACTTCTTTACACTTATTTAATGTAGCCCATCTTCCATGCAACTCAAATTCACACCCCTGACATTTTACGTCAGGAATTATTCCACTTGATTAACAAAATGACATAAATTGACCAGACAATGTATTTAAGTAGTAGGATACGGAGGGTATGGGTAACAGAGCTGGTTTAAAGTAGAAGGTAGAGATGCTCAGCTCACCCTCCAGCTGCTCTTGTTCGTTGACGAGCCGTCTCCAGCGGGAGCCACCACAAGTGTAGATGACGGCCCTGAGGAACTCTCTGCCACACAGCTTCACCGCCTTCACCTCCGCCCTCACCTGGCTCAGCCCTCCCGCCACACACAGCAGCAGGGGCAGTAGTACTGGCAACACACGCATCACGGCTGGCTGGATGGCTCTCTGTGGGTTGCTGTGTGTTCGTCCGCACTGGGGTGCTCGCTTGCAAAGACCACCACAGACTGATTCTCTGGTCTACTTTCTGTCTTTTATCTCTTATTTCTTCTTGTTCTGTTTATTGTGTTCCTCCCTCTCTCTCTCTCGCGCTCTCACTCTTTCTCTCTCGCTCTGCGTCTCTTGCTGAGGCAGTAACACAGTGGACTGGTCTCTGGTTCAAGGCGTGCATCTTCCTCCTATATATACCTCTCAGCTCATCCATTGAAGAGTCAATCAATCTCCCCCTCCCTCCCCTATACTCCCCCCCCCCCCCCCATTCCGTACCCACCTCATCCACCCCATCTCTCTCTCTCTTTCTCCTCGCCCCCACCCGGCATGGTCTTTTCCAGTCAAATCATTTCATGTTTCCGGTAATGTCTACCTTCACCATTCGTGATCTGGTAATCACTTCTTTATTGCCCTAAATCTACAATCAGATTAGCTGTCCAGAGGGGTGGAGGGCGCTCTCTCAACCTCTCCACTTTAACAAGTTGATTGCAGTGACCATCCCTTTAATGCACAGCTAATTCAGTCACATGTTGGGATCCCAGCCAAACAGATGGCTCCTGTGTTTAAGTGTCAGACAATTCACCTTTCCAATATGGTGGTTAAATGTCCCAAATTGAAGGGAACGGGTAAATGTTGACGATTTGTCATGCGACCCATTATGGCTTTGTTATTGGTGTAATATAATGTTCTAATGGGGATTCTAATCAAAATCATCTATGTGACACATCAGTGCCATCAAATCAAATCAATAAAACATTTAACATGCGCCGAATACAACAGGTGCATGTTAAATGCTTACTTACAAGCCCTTACCCAACAATGCAGTTTTAAGAAAATAGAGTTAAGAAAATATTTACTAAATAAACCAAAGTAAAAAATAAAATAAAAAGTAACACAATAAAATAACAACAACGAGGCTATATACAGGGGGTACCGGTACCGAGTCAATGTGCAGGGGGTACATGTAGATAGGGGTAAAGTGACTATGCATCATTCTCATTTTAGTGTTCTTTCTAACGTGAAATGACATCATGGCATGACATTAGTTCCCTCATGGGTCGTTTCCCCATTAACTGATGGAAAACACGCTCCTTATATTGTTTTGTTGAAGGGATATGGCTACACACTTTCACAAGATCTAATTAGGCAAATTCTAGTTCCTCTCACTCTCCTCTCAGAAGGATCCACCAATTACTCAATCAAGCTAATCAATGAGGTGCTTTGTTAATTGATTACATCCTGGCCTACCAGGCAATCCCCTAGAGACCCAGTGGTTCCTCAGGACAAGGGTTGGAGACCACCTGCCTGAGTCAGTTCTCTTCAGTTTTGCCAGGTCTCCCTTGGGAAACAGGTCTTCTCACCCCAATGGGACTTCCTGATTAATTTAAATAAAGATTAATTAGAATAAAAGTTCCAGTATTCTGCTTTGATGAAGACCACTGAATGGGAAACAAGGGTAGAGAGAACAGATAGACTCAGAGAGATAGCAGTCATAATGGTATATATTATCTGTTTACTACTGTCATGTGACTCCTGTCAGATGTCCACTTCACCAGGTTATGTTTTTCTGCCCATTTGCTCCTGAAGCATTAGACTCCAGTCCATTTGAGCCTTTTTACCCACATAACAATGACAGTTAACACCTACTTTCAAATGTCAGGCAAAGCCTTTAACTACATAATGACAGCCATTAGCTGAGTGGGGTGTGTGTGTGTGTGTGTGTGTGTGTGTGTGTGTGTGTGTGTGTGTGTGTGTGTGTGTGTGTGTCTGGATCTCGATGCCACAGATGCTCTTCAGACAGACTACACTCTTAATACACACTCATACACACACAGCACTGCAGAGTAACAGCATGCTCGAAAACACAGTGCTCTCCATACAGTACACACACAATGACTATCATACAAAACAGGGACGTTGCTGTGGTGATGAGGGCAGGACAGCCAAAGATGCAGGTGTGAGAAGATGAAAAAGAGATGCATGGTATTTCAGCTTTCTGAAAAAAGTATCCATATGCGTGTGTGTGTGTCAGTCACTCAGAGATCCTCCATTGCTTTTCATCAGAACAAGCTCAGACACCTTTCTTTATGACTGGGTCAACAAGATCAGCAGCTTCATAGAATCAGGAAGAACTTCCTTTGAAATGGATGACGTCAATTCCAGGTATTTCAGTGTTGCGCCATTATTGAAGACTGAAACTGGGCATTGGGCCAGATGAACATTAAAACTTTGAGAGACAGTGAGTGCACAAGCAGAGACATGTTATGTTTTATGGTAATGATAAATGATCATGTTTTCTTTCTCAATATAAAACCAAAGCAGACAAAGATGCAGTCCCTGGGGACCAAACATTATGGCGACATACAGCCGATGATGACGTTGTGGATGAGGCAAGCTTTAAGGGATACATAGTCCCAGTGTGTCCCTCTACCCTCCTCCCATGGCTGGGTCTGTCCCACTCACAGCTGACTGGCCAGGGTGGAGCCGATGATGTCCTCTAACGCGTCCACCTAACGGGACAGAGATGAGACGAGATATTTTACCCTCTGTCTCTTTGCCCAGGGAGATAAGAACAGTTAACCAGCCACCCACAGAATGAGGAAATTATGCCTTAATCTGGGCTGAAATTGTCTTTAAATGGTCTGTAATAATCCAACTGAATTTCCACAGAGAACAGTTTGTAGGTAAGGTAAGGTAAAGCTCTGAGTGGGTATGATGGCGACACATACGGTAGGTGTGTCACTGTAAGAACAGCGATTAAGCATTCTGATCAGAAGGTGTATGCAACAACATACCCTTTCTATGCAATGCAGTTGGCTTATATTCAAACCTGAAAGCTACCACACTCTAATCCAGGGGTCTCCAACCTTTTCTATCACAAGAGCTACTTTTAGAAAACGAAACATGTCGCGAACCACTCTTTTTTGACCATAGCTTTGAAATAGTCACATTCTTCTCTTCTCCTCTACCCTGCAACTCATCCCCAGGTCCTTGGTATGCAAGATATGTGTTTTCTGTAAATATACCTGGTAAAATAATGGTTAATAAACAGTATTTGGCATGACAGGCCCCAATCAAATTATCTTTTGTACCTTCCCGAATTCTGTTTTCTCTGTTTAATTTGACATTTTTAATGATTTTTGTTCTTTTCTTGACTCTCAATATTACAATGACTCATAGAGAAACAATGGGAATGGATGTTCTGAGTCCATGGTAATGCTTAAATCACATCAGAATAAAATTTTTGAGGTCTGGAAAAAAAATGAACACATTTGAGTGTATTTCCCTTTAATTGCGCATCTAGCAGGAGAGGAATGTGCCGGTCTAGCCATGCTGTTAGGCCTACTGCTGCAGCACATGTCATGGCACAGTTTGTAAATCAATCGCCACCCAATTGATACAAATAATCATGATATAGTTCTGTCAGGTAAGCCTACTTTGCAGTTAACATTTAATTGAGAAGATTTTGGGGAAAGCCTTTCTGTCTACCCACAAGATGGTTATCATTAGCATCGCTAACTGGCTACATACAAACGTGTGCACCAAACAGACAGACAGGTTGCCTGGTTACACAAACTCCTTGCTCCGGCCAAACTCTATGCCACACCCACAGATGTTTGTTTCTTCTCCGCAATGAGTCTGGATCTGAGTACCTCCCCGACGATTTCTAGAACGCAAACACATTCTAACTGGTCCCAGAAACCGATGGATTGGGCCAGAGCCAGAACACACATGGGTAAAGCTGCATTTTGAAAATGTGTTATTGGCTTTGATACTCTGGTTAGAGATTATCCAATCGCTGATGACTTTGTTTTGTACAACACCCCTAATTTTGATGTCAGCATAAACGACTTCAACAATGGCAGTCTCAGATTGAAGTATGTACCGAACGATAGAGCAGCGGAAGAATTCAGTTTGAATAACAGGCAAACAGACAAGGGCGATATTGCTGGAAATTAATTGGCAGATGTTGTGTTACATTTGGCTTTTTAAGCCAATAGTGGCTAACCAGGGGTGGGATAATGTAAGTGTGGCTTTGATTGGATAGTAGCCGGGAGCTTTATGTTTTTGACAGTTTGCGAAGGAACAAATGAAAAAATGCATGTACTTTCAGAATTGCTTGGCTACTCATAGGTGGGCTGCGCGCTACTGGTAGCTCGCGATCGACCTGTTGGAGACGCCTGCCTCACCTGTGTTCCCTCTCCTACGGTGAGGTTCTTGAGTTGGTAGACGCTGACCTGCCCGTCACTGTCCCCCACTAGGATACAGTCTGTCTCAGTAGCAAACAGCAGGGAGGTCAGCTTCACCCCAGGACTGGCCAGGCTCACTATGGTGGGCTCCAGGCTGGGGAGAGGGACAAGGGCATGGTGGAGATGCTGTCTATTGTTTATTCACAGGCCATGCTCAGAGTAAAGACTTGAGCTTTATTATCTTAGCTTTATATTTCTTGAAATGCATTAAGAGAAGAAACTACAATAGATAGAGAGGGAGAGAAAGAGACAGAGTTAAATCTATTTATTAAGAGATAGAAAGTAATAGAAAAGGAGAGAGACAGACAAAGAGAGAGTACTCACATGCTGGCTCCCAGGTCCCAGATCTCCACGCGTCCCTCGTTGACGGCCCCGAACACGGTGGCCCACTTGGGGGACCACATGACGTCATAGACGGCACTCTGGGTGGAGGTGAAGCCCAGCACGGGCGTGAACAGGTCCTGCCGCCACAGCTGGATCGTCCAATCAGAGGAGCAGCTCAGGAAGACGTCCGAGCAGAACGGAGACCATGTGATCCGGTACAGAGGGCCCTGAGAGCAAGGAGAGGTTAGAGCTAGGGTTAGGGTAAGGGTCAGAGTTGAGGCCAGGGTTAGGGTTGAACCTGGATGTGGACATGAAGTTAGGGTTAAGGTCAGAGTTGAGGGTTAGGGTTGAACCTGGATGTGGACATGAAGTTAGGTTTAAGGTCAGAGTTGAGGGTTAGGGTTGAACCTGGATGTGGACATGAAGTTAGGGTTAAGGTCAGAGTTGAGGGTTAGAGTTGAACCTGGATGTGGACATGAAGTTAGGGTTAAGGTCAGAGTTGAGGGTTAGGGTTGAACCTGGATGTAGACATTAAGTTAGGGTTAAGGTCAGAGTTGAGGGTTAGGATTGAACCTGGATGTAGACATGAAGTTAGGGTTAAGGTCAGAGTTGAGGGTTAGGGTTGAACCTGGATGTGGACATGAAGTTAGGGTTAAGGTCAGAGTTGAGGGTAGGGTTAGGGTTGAACCTAGATGTGGACATGAAGCTAGGATTAGGGTTGTGGTTGAGGCTAGGGTTAGGGTTGAACAGGGATGCGGACATTAAGCTAGGGATAGGGAATGAATGAATGGCATTGTATTATACAGTTCAGCGGAGAGCATCTGTATGGCCTGAAGGATCTGTTCATACTTTGTGTGCTATGTAGGTCTCCAGGAACTGCTCGTTGTAGGAACAGGAACACTTGTGGATGTGGCCCTCCTCTGTACCAGCAAGGTAGATGTTGGAGTCCTAAAAACACAGGACAAAGTAACTAAAACAACACGTGTAACTATCCTTTATGAAAACGTAAGAACATGAGAACATTCTGGTCGCTCACCATGGGATGGAAGTCAAAACAGAGCCCCGGCGCCTGCCGTGATATCAGCGCCTCGCTCTTCCTCTCTTTGTCTCGAGCCTGCTTCTTGGCTTTCTCATTCCTCGTCCTCTTCAGCTTCATCAAGTCTGTGGAGGCAAGGGTTAGAGCACATAATAGTTACGCTTATGACTGGAAGGTTATGGGGGGAAATGTCTGCAAGAGTTGTCTGCTGACTGGAAGGTTAAGGGGGGAAATGTCTGCAAGAGTTGTCTGCAAAAGTGTCTATGAAGAATATGAAGAATAGTATTTTAGAGGGTGGATATTTGGGATACTTGGAGGGGGCATACTAAGAGAAAGGTTTCCCACAACTTTCAGAGACTGAGGTAAAACTGGACCTATGCAGTCGAGGCTTTTCCGCAGGAACCACTTGCTGATCCTGCCGTCTGCAGACACAGAGATGAGTGTCTCTCCCTTGTCCTCTCCTGAGGCACCCCTCTCATGGTCGATCCACCTTACCTGCCACACAGTGCTTGTGTGCTTGTGGGCACAGTCACTACACAGGGAAAAAAAACACACACACACACACACACACACAGGTAAGTGTGCTTCAACTAACACACATGTTGAGGTTCTCATTTGTTTTCCAAGGCGCAGTCACTACCAGCTTTGTTACATGTCTGTGTGAGATCAGTAGATATTTCAGTGTCTAATGGAGATTAAAAATAGTAGACAGTCTCTGACATCACAGCCTAGCTAGTCAGTCATAACAACAACAGACAGATGATGAGTAACGGGGAGATATGCACAGGAGATACTGTAAAAACAGTAGATATTTGGTGGAAACGCGTCACTCGATTGAATACACACAAATCTATCGCGCTAGTATCTGAGGAACGATGGAACAGAAAGAGATGTGATGTCACAGCTTGTTAACGATGGAACAGAAAGAGATGTGATGTCACAGCTTGTTAAAAGGCTTGTTAACGATGGAACAGAAAGAGATGTGATGTCACAGCTTGTTAAAAGGCTTGTTAACGATGGAACAGAAAGAGATGTGATGTCACAGCTTGTTAAAAGGCTTGTTAATGATGGAATAGAAAGAGATGTGACGTCACAGCTTGTTAAAAGGCTTGTTAACGATGGAACAGAAAGAGATGTGATGTCACAGCTTGTTAAAAGGCTTGTTAACGATGGAATAGAAAGAGATGTGATGTCACAGCTTGTTAAAAGGCTTGTTAACGATGGAACAGAAAGAGATATGATGTCACAGCTTGTTAAAAGGCTTGTTAACGATGGAATAGAAAGAGATGTGATGTCACAGCTTGTTAAAAGGCTTGTTATGTGTTGTTGTTGGCTGGCTGGCCTTCCATTGTTTCCTCTGCATCACGTTGGCCATCTCTCTTTCAGTGTATAGGCTTCCTGCTGTTTTATTGTTTGAACACAGTCCTTGACATGTCCGGCTGTGCAATACGTGCATTTCCAAATGAACATGAAAAAGTCTCATTTTGAAATAAGAAATACAAAAATAAAAATAAATATTTATCCTTGTTATCATCATTTCTGTATTCAATATCGTTCATGACCTCAATCTTTTGTGATTATCAAAAAAGTTTAAACATTACAATTGCTATTATTTTAAATTATAAAAGGAACATAGACCTACTCCACTGTCTAATTCTAAAGGTAAAGCCTATGGGTAAAGCAGAAATGTTGGTGACTGTGGGCTTTGCTTTGTAAACCATATAGGGGTCCCCAATTACATACAGCCATGGGTCAGAACATAGTCATAAATCATTTGTACACTGCAAATTGACCGCAAGAATCCCAAACAGATATAGTATTTGACAAAAACATGATAACATTGGGATACGATCACATATGCCTCTGTATTTATGCGTGGGAATACTTGTGAGCAGATTTCCTAAATTAAAATCACTTGCAAACTAATTTCCTGGTAATTTTACAGTATTTTATGTCCAAGAACAAAAATTATAACATTTATTTTATTTTGCTCAGAAAACTTGGGGGGGAACCCTGTCATATAGCCTGTTTATCTGCCAGTATACAGTGCCACCTGGTGTCTATGAGAAATTAGATTTGGTTGTCTCTCTCACTCTCTCTTTCTCTTTGAGGAGACACAGACCCACCTGCTGTCAATGACGGGTGTCTTCTCTCTGCTCTCGACGTTGTAGGTGGCTATGCTGCCATCATGCATTCCGACTGCTAGCTGGCTGGCGTTGCCAGACGAAAAGTCCAAAGTAGTCACTCCACTCTCACAGGTAAAGATCCTCTCAGGCCACTGTAGATACAAGATACAAAACTCATTAGCTTAGTCACTAGAGAACTATTCTCTAACCTGGCACAGGTACAGTAGCCTGGTTTCGGATCTGTTTGTGCTGTCTTGCCAAATGTTTGGCATGATAGTCCATAGGAGTATACAGCACACATAGATCTAGGACCAGGCTACAGGTACAGCACAATTGCAGAAACTAATGGTATTAACTGAGATAAAGAAGAAAACAGAAGTGTCAGTTACCGTGGGGTTTTTCAGAGACCAGCAGCAGATCAGGCCTGATTTCTGGTCTTTGAAGTCAAACTGCCCATACCCCACTGCAAGAAGGTCCTGGAGAAGGAAATAAAATGGAGAGAGAGAGAGTTTATTTTGTAGAAACATTTTACACACATCAAAAGACAAATAAATAAGTGAATAAAACTAGAATCATACTGGGTTCCTCTTGTTCCAGGCCATACTGCTGACGTTGTGTCCTGAAGTCAGCTCACAGCTGAAGGACCAGAGGCGCTCCAGGGCCGGGGTCAGAGTGCTCTCCTCATCCAGGGAACTCTCCTCTCTCCTGTTCCCCACCGTGGGCACAACCTTGGGCACACTGTAAGGATCTGGCACATCCAACAAACATGGTTGTTTATGAGAAATAAGGCATTCAATTTGTAACATTACTAAATATCAATTCAAGTTGATAATCATACGATCCGAACCTGATGAAGACCTAAGGGTTAAAACGTTGTGGCTAATAAACCACATGGGGACATAGATTACACTGTACTGTTTGCCTGCAAATGTCACCCCAAAAAAAACACTACCCACTGGGCAAAAACTGGTTGAATCAACGTTGTTTCCACATAATAAAAAAATATATATGTTAATGTGATGACCTTGAATCAACGTGGAAAACTGATTGGATTTGCAAAAAGTCCTCAACTTAAGGGACTTTTCTTTTTTTAACCTAAAACCTAAAAATGTTTTGTTGATTTCAAGTTGAATTCACGTTAGTTGACAAGTCAACCAAATGTAAATAAAAAATAGACGTTGAACTGACGTCTGTGCCCAGTGGATAGAGACGCATGCATCAGTAATAACCATACCTTCCAATGTGGGGAGCTGTCTGTATGCAGCCAGCTTCGGCTGGTAGATGTTCTCCAGAATGATCCTCTCCATCACAAACAGATCCTGCTGGAACTTCTCTGACTGCAGAATCAGTTCCGGGTCCGGTTCATCTTCAGACGGGACCAGGAAAAGCTCCATCTCGATCCGCGAGCTAGAGGCACTCGCTTGAATAGAAAAACGCCTGTTAATATCATACGTCATCATGAAATAAACTGTAAATAAATAAGAAACCCTAGAACTGCTGCAGGATCATAACCATAATGATCCCTTCGTTCTCTAATATGGTTCTATTCTATTAATGACAGTGTTACTGTACCTATGCTAGTGGTGCTGATGACAGACATGGTTCTCTCGGGGGCTCTGGTGGGGTCCAGCCTGTGGTTGGAGACAATCTCAGGGACGCTGGCCTTGTCTGTGTCTGGGGACAAGGCAGCCTCCCCCAGCCCTGCGCTGCAGAATGAGTCATACATATCCCAGCTGGTGGCTGTGGTGGCTGTAAAGAGGGCAAAGGTGACAATAGCTATTTGTAACATCAGGCATAGAGGCCAGAAGCCCACTGGGCACACACTGGTTGAATCAACGTTGTTTCCACGTCATTTCAATGAAATTACGCTGAACCAATGTGGAATAGAAGTTGAATTGACATCTGTGCTCAGTGGGGGGTGCTTAACAAACTAAAGGCTGACTGAGGAGGCTGTGCTTGGGTGATAGCCATTGTGTGAGAGGTGAGATAAGAACAACAGACAAGAGTACTCTCATATCTCATAGCAAGGACAACTGAGGATGAAGTGCATCCTAACCTGCATCCACCATGGTGATGGCCTCACTCTGGACCTCCTTGGTCTTGGGCGCTCCGTTGAACGTCTGCATGGAACGCTCCACATACTTATCATTCCCCATTCTGTTCTTACACAGCTCCACGTACAGATTGTTTCTCTCTCTTCAGACAGAGGGTAATCGACAGAACACAAGTTGCATGAAAATGTATAAAAACTACATAGCAAGCAAGGATCTGCATTATGAGCTGCTGAGGCCTGAGCCTGGAATCTACATCATTTGGATCTACACTACCAGTCAAAAGTTGACACACCTACTCATTCAAGGGTTTTTCTTTATTTTTACTATTTTCTACATCGTATAATAATAGTGAAGACATCAAAACTATGAAATAACACATATGGAATCATGTAGTAACCAAAAAAGCATTGTTTTGATGTCTTCACTATTATTATACGATGTTGAAAATAGTAAAAATAAAGAAAAACCCTTGAATGAGTAGGTGTGTCCAAACTTTTGACTGGTAGTGTACATATGAGTTATTTCATTCTGAGTCTGGAAAAGGTGATTGCTTACTTGACAGATTCAGCTTCCTCAGAGTCCACAGACACAGAGATGGCCGGCATGTCCAGTAGCCAGAGGGTCTCTGACTCGATGAGGTACCGATCCACCATGTCATCCAACATCTCCTCCTTTATCAACTCCTTCACCTCTTCCCTTCTCACCTGGACATCTGACAGGACAGAAATATACATCAACAACATAAATAAAAGCATCCAGGTTTTCAAAATTGTAAATTTTTGGGTAACTGTGCATCCCGGTATTCTCAGATGACATATACTTGCAGATAACACAATACATTTTTTGTCATCATAGTGATATAGCTGCCATGGCAGCTCTTGTAACATCATCAGTAAATGAAATGAGAGTGAAAGGATTGTCAACCTGAGAGACTGATGGAGATGTCCCTTTTGGAGGATGGGTCCTCAATCTCTTCATTCATCGACTCCATCGTGGACTGGCTCCCTCTGGACACTGTGCTGCTTCCAAACACTGACCTGACATACGACAGGCAGCATTATTCTGTTATAACCACCAGTCATATTATTTAAAAATGTTTTACAAGAGAGCTAGAGTGTGAGATTAAGGTACTCAAAGCAGTACATAGTCCAATGACCATAAAGTTAAGCACATTGCCTTCTAAATAATGTTGCTTTTAAAAAGTGAATATTCTGTGTGTTACCTGGTAAAGGGCCCAGCGAAGCTAGCGTTGGTTGTTGTCTGGTATGCGGTAGAGTAGAAGTCTGACATGGTGCCACCAGAGGTGTCACTGGCAAAGATCTTACTGTGTTTAGACGTCACGGCTGCAGGGTCTGGATGGTAGAGAGGCTGTGGGGTGACGTCCTTGCCATTTTCATCAAAGACCTGTGAGAGGGATGTCACTTTTTAACTGCTGCACAGTAATTGTTATTGCAATGTCAAATCAAATCAAAATGTATTGGTCGCGTACAAAGATGTGCAGGTGCAGTGAAATGCTTGTGTTTCTACTAGCTCTAACAGTGCAGTAATACCTAGCAATAAAAAAATAATACCACATAATTCAGAAGAACAAAGGACACCAGAAACAAAATTGTAGACCTGCACCAGGCTGGGAAGACTGAATCTGCAATAGGTAAGCAGCTTGGTTTGAAGAAATCAACTGTGGGAGCAATTATTAGGAAATGGAAGACATACAAGACCACTGATAATCTCCCTCGATCTGGGGCTCCACGCAAGATCTCACCCTGTGGGGTCAAAATGATCACAAGAACAGTGAGCAAAAATCCCAGAACCACACGGGGGGACCTAGTGAATGACCTGCAGAGAGCTGGGACCAAAGTAACAAAGCCTACCATCAGTAACACACTACGCCGCCAGGGACTAAAATCCTGCAGTGCCAGACGTGTCCCCCTGCTTAAGCCAGTACATGTCCAGGCCCGTCTGAAGTTTGCTTGAGTGCATTTGGATGATCCAGAAGAGGATTGGGAGAATGTCATATGGTCAGATGAAACCAAAATAGAACTTTTTGGTAAAAACTCAACTCGTCGTGTTTGGAGGACAAAGAATGCTGAGTTGCATCCAAAGAACACCATACCTACTGTGAAGCATGGGGGTGGAAACATCATGCTTTGGGGCTGTTTTTCTGCAAAGGGACCAGGACGACTGATCCGTGTAAAGGAAAGAATGAATGGGGCCATGTATCGTGAGATTTTGAGTGAAAAACCGGCAAGGGCATTGAAGATGAAACGTAGCTGGGTCTTTCAGCATGACAATGATCCCAAACACACCGCCCGGGCAACGAAGGAGTGGCTTCGTAAGAAGCATTTCAAGGTCCTGGAGTGGCCTAGCCAGTCTCCAGATCTCAACCCCATAGAAAATCTTTGGAGGGAGTTGAAAGTCCGTGTTGCCCAGCGACAGCCCCAAAACATCACTGCTCTAGAGGAGATCTGCATGGAGGAATGGGCCAAAATACCAGCAACAGTGTGTGAAAACCTTGTGAAGACTTACAGAAAACGTTTGACCTGTGTCATTGCCAACAAAGGGTATATAACAAAGTATTGAGAAACTTTTGTATATACACATAATTCAGAAGAAAGTGGGTGAAACAGTATGTAAACATTATTAAAGTGACCAGTGTTCAATGACTCTATAGGGCAGCAGTCTCTAAGGTGCAAGGCAGAGAACTGAGTGGTAGCCGGCTAGAACAGTGTCTAAGGTTCAGGGCAGGGTACTGGGTGGAGGCCGGCTAGTGATAACTGCTTAACAGTATGGCCTGGAGATAGATGCTGTTTAACAGTCTCTCTGTCCCAGCTTTGATGCACCTATACTGTCTCTGCTTTCTAGATGGTAGCGGGGTGAACAGGCTGTGGCTTGGGAGGCTGAGGTCCTTGATGATCTTCTTGGCCTTCCTGTGACACCGGGTGCTGTAGATGTCCTGGAGGGCAGGCAGTGTGCCCCTGGTGATGCATTGGGCTAACCGCACCAACCTCTGGAGAGCCCTGTGGTTGTGGACGGTGCAATTGCCATACCAGGCTGTGATACAGCCCGACCGGATGCTCTCAATGGGGCATCTGTAGAAGTTAGTGAGGGTCTTAGGGGCCAAGCCAAATTTCTTCAGCCTCCTGAGGCGCTGTTGCGCCTACTTTACCACGCTGTCTGTGTGAAGGGACCATTTCAGGTTGTCAGTGATGTGCACGCCGAGGAACTTGAAGCTTTTGACCATCTCCACTGCGGCCCCACGATCAGCTCCTTCGTTTTATAACATTGAGGGAGGTTATTTTCCTGGCACCACTCCAGGGCTCTCACCTCCTCCTTGTAGGCGGTCTCATCATTGTTAGTAATCAGGTCTACCACTGTTGTCTTCAGCAAACTTGATGATTGAGTTGGAGACATGCACGACCACGCAGTCATGGGTGAACAGGGAGTACAGGAGGGAGCTGAGCACACAATGTATCAAACAAAACATGTGTCAATAAAGGGCTGTACCTGAACTGTGTGTTTTGGTGTTGGAACAGAGCTTTTATCAAAGATTTTGCTGTCAGCAGCCAAACTGAAACTTTTCCGGCTCACTGAGGCATTGATACTCCGAGCATATGTTGTGCTGTGGTTGACCCGGAGTATGCCTGATGTTGAGACATTCATTACCCGGGAAGATCTGAAAGACAGTAAAAGCATTTTGTCTACTGCTCAGAACACATCAAGTTAGACCCTATCTACTAGCTAAAAATAAAAATAAAATAAGATGAGATCACACAGATTTATTACACAATAACATGCAATTTAATAGGCCGAAGGATATGGTGAGATGACAGGGTGTTAAAATAGTGAAAAGCCTTGGAGAGCATGGCCTAGGAGTAAAAGTGCTGGTAACAGTCTACATAGCATCACCTGCCATCCATATTAGCATGTTTAGGGTAACGTTAGCAACTGACTTACGGTGTGACTTTCAGAGTGGGTTTCTTCAGTTTTGCTCTGGTGGTGGACATTTTGGTGGTCTTATCTCGTCGTTAGTACAGAGGCAATAGTGGTGTTTACTAATCAGTTTATGACTTCGTTAGAAAGCTAGTTATGTGTGAACATATTCGAGGCAGCAAGAAAGCTAGCTAGCTTCAAAGTTTCTTGTTTCATATTACTATAGCAACATACTCCTCCCATAAGACGGATAAGATCCTGATTGGTCAGGAAAAGTTATGAACGACCCCAGTCGGTGTATATATAATGTTTGATGTTCCACATTTTGGGACTCTGTTGTCTGCTTCTCTGGATGGTGCCTGTCCATAATATAATGCATCCGTTTTGAAAATATCGGTTTGGATTTTTGAAAAATTAAGACAGTTTAGCTAGCTACTCCAGCACGATAGGTGGCAGTACATAGAGGATATTTATCCACGGGGGTCGACATCCCTGTCGAAGGAGAGTACGCATGGCTCGCTAGCTAGCTTAGCTAACGTTCTTTAGCCCTGTCATGTAGCTAATAAACTTCGTATGAATCAAATACTAGCTCATCATTACGCTCACTTGGTGTCATACTCAAGGTGAGTTGCTCTCGTGCTTGCATTGCAGAGAAAACTAGCTAGCTTGTTTGCTAACAGCTAGCTAGTTAGTTATACCTGCCTGGCTAGCTACATCTGAAAGGTTGTATGCATTGGTGGAATGCATCTAGCTAGCAACCGGGTACTTTCAAAGGTTACAAATAGATGACCATTGGATAATGTCATCGTTTTATGATTTATTGCATTGCCTAACACAATAAGGGTCATGCTGTTAGTTTACTTAGCTAGTTTTAAATATTTCTTGCTGACCTTGGGGTTATTTCCTCATATAATCTATTTTTATACTGAACAAAAATATAAACACAACGATTTTACTGAGTTACAGTCCATACAAGGAAATCAGTCAATTGAAATAAATAAATTAGGCCCTAATCTATGGATTTCACATGACTGGGCAGGGGCGCAGCCATGAGTGGGCATGGGCCCACCCACTGGGGAGCCAGGCCCAGCCAATCAGAATGAGTTTTTCCCCACAAAAAGGGCTTTATTACAGACATAAATACTCATCAGTTTCATCAGCTGTCTGGGTGGCTTGTCTCAGACAATCCCGCATGTGAAGAAGCTGGATGTGGAGTTCCATTGTCGTGTGAAGGCCGGTTGGTCGTACTGCCAACTTCTTATGGTTGAGAAATGAACATTAAATTCTCTAGCAACAGCTTTGGTGGACATTCCTGCAGTCAGCAGGCCAATTGCACGCTCCCTCAACTTGACACATCTGTGGCATTGTGTTGTGTGACAAAACTGCACATTTGTGGCCTTTTATTGTCCTCAGCACAAGGTGCTGTGTAATGATCATGCTGTTTTGTCAGGTTCTTTATATGCCACACCTGTCAGGTGGATGGATTATCTTGGTAAATGAGAAATTCTCACTAACAGGGATGTAAACAACTTTGTGCACAAAATTGGAGAGAAATAAGCATTTTGTGCTTATGGAACATTTCTGGGATCTTTTATTTCAGCTCATGAAACATGGGACCAACACTTTACAAGTTGTGTTTATATTTTTGTTCAGTATATGTAAAACAAGTCCTTGATTTTTCTCATATTTCTAGGATATTGACACCAGTCTACTACAATGGAAGTCCTAATGCATCACCTTCGGCAGAGAGTCTTACCCCACCTGCCCAGAGCCTTTATCACTCCTTGTAAGAGCCATTCAAGCTGTGCTGCTGGAAATGCCCCAAAGCCAACCCCCACTGACTCCACCTCCCGACCTAGCACACCCCTTCCCCTAGTCTCCCGTCTCTTCCAGCCCTCCAACCTGCGTGATCTGGGTCAGGAGAGTCGTGCTCAGGGGGAGATGACCTGCAAGAGCCAGAGACTGATGCAGCAGGCAGGTCTCATCCACCCTTCCAACCCTGGCTGTTACTACTTCCTCCCAGCCACAGTGCGCTCCATGGAGAAGCTGGTGAGGCTGATCGACCAGGAGATGCAGAGGATTGGTGGGCAGAAGCTGGACATGCCCAGCCTGTGCTCTGCGGAGCTGTGGAGACGCAGCGAGCGCTGGGACCTGATGGGAAAAGAGCTGTTCCGCCTGAGGGACCGCCACGGAGCTGAGTACTGCCTGGGCCCCACCCATGAGGAGGCAGTGACAGAGCTGCTAGCCTCCCAGGGAACCCTGTCCTACAGACAGCTGCCTCTAATGCTCTACCAGGTATAGGCTACAGTATGGCACCACATTCAACCTTATTCATTAGTTTATTCAGAGTGAGGCTTCTTTCTTCTCATCATACACTTGGGTTTATATTATAATGGTATTAAACTGATGCGTGTTTCATTTGTCTATGCAGATCACCCGCAAGTTCCGTGATGAGCCAAAGCCTCGGTTCGGGCTGCTACGGGGGCGGGAGTTCTACATGAAGGACATGTACACGTTTGATGTGAGTGAGGAGGCTGCCTACCACACGTATGAGTCTGTATGTCAGGCTTACAACCGCCTCTTCTCCCGGCTGGGCCTGCACATTGTCCAGGTCCAGGCAGACACAGGGAACATCGGAGGTAAACTCTCCCACGAGTTCCAGCTCCCAGCAGACATCGGAGAGGACAGACTACTGGTCTGTGGGAGCTGCTCCTTCTCTGCCAATGTGGAGACCATGGAACCAGGCCGGACTGACTGCCCACAGTGCCAGGCAGGCACACTGGTGGAGTCCAAGGGCATAGAGGTGGGTCATACATTCTACCTTGGCACCAAGTACTCCCACATATTCAACGCCACCTTCAACAACACCCAGAACAAGCCTGCTGTCACTGAGATGGGCTGCTTTGGGCTGGGGGTGACCCGGATCCTCGCTGCCGCCATAGAGGTGATGTCCACGGAGGAGGCTATCCACTGGCCTGGGCTGCTTGCCCCCTACCAGGTCTGTGTTCTGCCACCTAAAAGGGGCAGTAAGGTGGATGAGGTGGCTGGTTTAGCTGAGGAGCTGGCCCTCTTTCTGGGGGAGGCTTTGCCCAGCCTAAGAGGTGAGGTGGTTCTGGATGACCGTACACAGATGACCATTGGTAAGAGACTGAAGGATGCCAGTCGGCTTGGATACCCCTATGTGGTGGCAGTGGGGCAGAAGGCTACAGAGGAGACACCCAGGTTTGAGGTGATCTGTCAGCAGACTGGTGAGACTATGTTCCTCAGTAAGGATGGGCTGGTAGACCTACTCAGACGAGTGGAGACGGTCTGAGTTGGACCGTTCTTGACCAGGAACGGGACTAAACTACTGAACTCCATGGAACTCTATTGCTCCTCTGAAATGGGCATGCTTGTGGTTGGGTGGGATGATAAGCAGTAAAGAGGCTACTAAGACCAATCTAAGTCTGATGCAAACTGAGCTGGACTGAACTGAAATGTATTATTACACTGAGATGAACATGCATGTCTGGGGTAGGGAGGAAGTAGCCCTTGATCATGACTCTCAGTTCCATTACATTACACATAAGTAATTGGACGAAGGCGTCTTCTGTACGAGGGAATTTTGTTAAGATCCGCAACGCTCGGTCTGAACATTAACACGGATCGCTTGCGGTACGGTTTTTGAAGCATAAGGACCTTAGCTTTCATATCAGCGAGGAAAAAATAAATAAATGAATAAAGGTTAAATTGATACACACCTTTTATAGGGTTAGGGTTCCCACACGGCCTTCTCTCCATGTTACAGTGCTTGTTTACGGAAGACAGAGTGGACTACCTGTGCTAATTAGCTATCTGCATCTCCGAACACCTGTGTGTAAATGGAAGATGGACGCCACAAACGTGTTGTCACTGAAAAATACTGTCATCTGCAACTATTAAAACTGTTTAAGACTGTACAGTAAGTGTGTATTATGCATTTGTGAAAATATTGTTTTGATGTGATATGAAAGTAGAAGGATTTAGGTTTCTAGAACCGTACCGCAATTGAGAATCGATTCACATTTATATAGAGTATTTGGCTGTTTAGGCTTCCAGAGCCAATTCGCCCTTTAAACGGAACATGTGTAAGGTCCTTGGACTAAGAAGTATTAGGCTCATTTAGTCCAATATTGAGCCAGGGTGGAAGAGGATCAATAATTTTTCTCAAATTACTTTGGTTCATTAGCCATGTGTGATGTCTGTCATTAAAAACCAATAGACATTTTTATTTATTATTGCCTTCTATCAATGTTTCATCCGGACTCGGTCAGATACAGACACACGAGTCAGATACACGCATTGCAGCGGAACTATTGAATCAAAGCTCTGACCGTTCCCCCTACGGAAGCATTTTAATGTTGCACCGCAACATTCACGTGTAAACAACTTGTATGATTTTGTTCTACATAGTTTATTTATGTAGACATATTGTCATACGTGTCGCTTCAGTAGTCAATACTAAGAAATCGTAATTCAGCAACTAGTTTAATATTCAATTCCATCCACCTTATTTGGAGTGAATATGGCTTCACTATCACAACAGAGCGATGATAGCGACGATGGCATGGACGACTTTATGGAGAAATTCAAGAAAGAGAAATATAGCAACGCCTTTTCCGAGAAGAACTGGGAAGAGGTAGTAAAGACGTAGCTAGCTACATCTCTACACAAACGACTGATATAGCACTGACAGTCATCAGTCATTACTCTCACTGTCAGTATCATTGGAGTGACAGCTAACTAACGTTAGCTAGCTAGATATGACTGGTTAGCTATCTGTGGATGGGCGCTAACGACAATAAACGTTAGCTAGCTAGAATACTATTAAAGATTTGTTTAAATGGCTAAACCATTTTGATATTAAACACAGTTTTCTTTACAATATGTGATACTGCCAGTCTCATTGATTGGCTAGTTATGTTAGTTACTTGCACTCGGCTATGCCCAGAACTGTCCCCTTGCCTTGGGTTCCAGAGGCCACAGGCTTTACTACCTATCCCATTCATTGCACTCATTCATTCCACTGTCCTGTAGGAGTTCAATAAGGTGCCTATGTTCATGAAGACAGCCCCAGACGAGATTGACCCCATGAAACACCCGGAGCTGGCTGCTATTCAGTCAATCATCCACGACGATGACAGACCACTAGAGGGTATGGCAGCCGTTACTGTACTTTTTGTCCACTCCTGATGAGGGGATTGGCTATCCCAACCAAACCCAGAGTCAATCGTTGTTTCCTTATTTCTACTCAGAGCAAGCCGAGAGCCTGAAAGATGAGGGGAACGACTACTTCAAAGAGAAGAACTACAAGAAAGCTATAGTGTCCTACACAGCTGGACTGAAGAAGAACTGCAGTGACTCTAACGTCAATGCCATCCTGCTCACTAACCGAGCAGCAGCACAATTCCACCTGGGTACAGACCTGTTCTTAGAACTTACCCATCTGTAGATCTCATGATATTGGTCTGTGAGTCTTCCAAAACTTGGTCTGGAATGTTTGTTGCAGTCACTCACTCTCTCCTCTTGCCTTGCAGGTAACATGCGCTCTGCACTGAATGATTCTGTCGCTGCAAAGAAGTTTAAACCAGACCACCTCAAAGCATTAATCAGAGGTTTGTCCATAGAATAAACATCACATTTGACTATTCTACCAGAAGACACATCTAGACACTACACATTTGCTATGAGACAAATGCTGTATGCATGACTCCTCTCTCATCCTCCTGCTGTGTGACTGTGTCTGTGCAGGTGCCTCGTGTTGCATGGAGCTGAAAAAATATACAGATGCCCTGCAGTGGTGTGAGGAGGGGCTCAAGCTGCAGCCCACAGACAAGAAGTTACTGGAGCTGAGAGCTACAGCAGACAAACATAAGGTATATTACAGGCCTTAATATGGCCTTGTCTCCTTTCCATTGTGTAGTCCAGTCCATATTTGAGATGAACCTATGCTGAAATTGTTGTATTTATGGTTTAGAGAGCAGCAGAGAGAGATGCAAGGAAAACAAAGGTCAAAGAAAAGAAGGAGCTCAATGAGAGAGAGGCTCTGCTGGCTGCTATAAAGGTGAGCGAGATCATAGTCACACGACCTGCATCCAACCTCATGATTCCTTTATAAGGAGGGTTGACGAAGGAACTGGCGCATGGCAATACATAGTTTTTATGACACGTGCTTTACAGGAGCGTGGCATCAAGTTACTGAAGCCTAAGCAGCGTCCTAAGCGCAGCTCTGACAGTGAGGATGATGATGGAGGCTCCTCTAGAGCCATGGCAGGCCTGGACCTGGACGGTCTGTGTTCTGCGGAGGCCACAGGGGCAAAGGTGTTCCTGGATGAACAGGGTGTCATGCATTGGCCAGTCCTATTCCTGTACCCCGAACACCAACAAACAGACTTCATCTCAGCCTTCAGCGAGTCCTCCAGGTATGATTATCTCTCCTCTCTCACTCTCTCCCTAAACAGAATGTGGGGTTGGAAGGGTCTACATAAAATCAGACAGTATTTTGTTTTGTAGGTTTGTAGATCCTAGAAGTCATCCAACCCAATACTCTACAAGATGTCTAAAGTAGACCAATGTTGCATTGCTAATGACCAATAACACTCAAAATAATACTGAACATAACATTTGATTTTTTAGCTTCCTAGATCACCTGACTCTCATGTTTGGAGAGGAACTCCCACCTTGGGACACTAACAGGAAGTACTCTCCACAAAACCTTCAGGTCAGTACTTTTTACTTTGATTTATTGGTTTCATTGAACAGTTTTGGGGTTATATACTGTATCTCTGAAATTGTGTTTTCCTTAGTTGGTTTTGACTTTTTTACCATTCTGACTCCTTAGCTGTTCTTTGAAGACCACGAGAAAGAGTCCTTACATCAAGTCAACCCAGAGACGCCTCTCCTTAAAATCCTTCAGCATAAAAGGTACAGAATGTATTTTTCTCACCCAGTTGTTTGAACTCACTTGTATAATGTGACTTGCTAATTGCTTTCTCATGGCTGATCTTTCCTGCTTTTTTGACAGGTGTTTTGTAAAGGCAGGAACTCCCAGCTTTGTCATTCTGGTAAAGGGGTCGCCGTTCTGCGGGAAGTTCTTATCAGAAAGAAAAACACATAGACTGTAATGACACTCTTCATTAATCAGCCTAGACCTGTCAATCTCACAGACTACTGGTATGAACTCTATCCCACCAACGAGAAAGGACTGCACTCCTCTCCACTCCCTGCCCAAAGTAAATGGAAAAGTGTAGATTTTGTTTGTTATGAATGGGAACCGTTACATTGTTCCAGATATCTCCAGCATGCTCTGTGATTGGCAAGATTGCAGTGTTCATAAACTGTTCATACTGTATCTATAGATCAAATTGTATATGCGTGTCAATTTGGGAAGCTGTCATAAAATGTTATAATTAAGACACCATGTCACTATTACTAAAAGGCCTTACAACAAAATATTGGCATTTGTTTGTAATTTCCTTTTCACTGTCTCAACAACATAACATACTATGTATCGTAAAAGCCAAACCAACCCATATGTTGCACATATAGTTGACAAGACTCAGTCTGACCAAACCAGCTTTTCTTGCCCTGTAAGAGCATTCTCCAGCTGCTTGTGTGTTACAGTGCACCATAGCCCCCAAGCCGCATTACTCAATAACCAGGCTGGCTTTATGAAGATACTCTTGTTTCTTCCTCATAACAGGATTACACGGAGGGTTGAGTAATAATCAAGTTGAATTCTCATGGAAATATTTATTTTTAGGTCTGTAAAAACCCCTGGGACAGGATAAATCAATAAGCTTTAGAACAGCGTTTCCCAAACTCGGGACCCCAAGGGGTGCACATTTTGTTTTTTTGCCCTAGCACTACACAGCTGATTCAAATAGTCAACTAATCATCACATTTTTTGAATTAGCTGTGTAGTGCTAGGGCAAAAACGTGCCGAGGACTGTGTTTTGGAAACACTGATTTAGAATTATCACCATTGTTGGGAAGGTTTGGTTCATCATTCAAATGTTAGGTGTGTCCTCATTGCTTCCTGAATGTCTCAGATGTAATCAGCAGTTTATTTGTGTCTTATATAAACTCCTTGGATGACTGATGCACATTCAGTTTGTGGGTTGATTCAAGCAAGACAAAATAGGCAGAAACAGGGGTTCCAAAAAAGCAGTTGTGCACAGATGTATTTTACCATTTCACTTTAGAACATGGCATGATTAGTACAAAGTCTTTTGACACAAGGCAAGCTCTTCATTGGAAGTACTTCTTCCTATCATACTGGGAACACTGTAAAGAAAAATAACCTGGCAGTTCAATCAGCACTTGATCTTTCGTAGTTCTCCATCGACATCAGACACCCCTCACATGGACATAGACTTGGCAAGTGGTCTCTTCCTGGCTGGTCGGTTGGGCTGCACAGTCTCCAGAAGCCTCCTGACCAGCTCTAGCCTGCCCCTGCTGATCAGAGCCCTGGAGAGCTCCGTCACCTCCCCGTTGTGTGCCCTGCACAGGCTTCTCAGCTCAGCCTTCACCGCGTCCTCCGGGTACCTCTCCTGGGCCCTCCGCACCCACACCTCCAGCTGGGTGATGGCTGTGTCGGGGTCGGGGCCACTCTGGGTGAACAGCCCCAGCAGGGCCTCCAGGAGGCAGCGTAGAGCCGTGGTGTCCCTGCTGCCAGGCCGCTCCAGATTCAGGGCCCTCTTGAAGCAGTCGGCTGCATTCTGCTCCTCGCCCTTCAGCAGCAGACAGCGCCCCCGGAGGAGGTGGAGGTCCGGGAGGCTGTCACCCAGGTCACACTGCAGGGCCTGAGAGAGGGACACCAGGGCTCTGTTCAACGCCCCTTCATCCACAAGCAGGCTCTCCTGAAGGGCATCCACACCCATGTAGTAATACACCTGGTAAGTGACACAATGTATTATAATGTGTTGTGATAAACCTGTAGTGACACATTACTGTATGAATATCACTAGATATTCTGTTTTTCTTGCCAAGTAACTGTTGATCTTTCACTCACACGCACAGGCCTTATTTCCACATCCCCGATGTGACTGCTGTCAAAGTGCTTGCAGTGTCTTGTCAAACAGCAGAGAGAGTAACACCCATCCCCACTCACCTGTCCCATCTCCAGGTGTGTGCGTAGACAGGGGCGAACACTCAGCACCCTCTCCAGGTCTGCCTTGGCCTCAGTCAGGCGACGTCTGTCAGGGAGCCCACCCTGTCCCTGTTTAGCACTCTCAAGATCCCTCACGTAGGCCATCACATTGATCTGAGAATAAAACCATGTCCATTTATGTAAATGTTGTGTGTATTCTGTGATTGTCATGTAAGTCCATCCCTGCCAGTGTTTAGATTTACTATTTGGTTTAGTATTAACATTATTGAAGTGACATTTGATATTACAATAGTGTTGAGTGTTAAATTGAGTTGAACATTGTGTTTAGACGTGTTAGGGTTACTGTAGTGTACCTTGGCACGGGTGCAATAGGCCTGCCAGTTGAGTTCAGGGTCAGGCAGCACATTGAGGGCCATGTTACAGATCCCTGTAGACATCTCATGTTTCCCCAGCAGATAGAACACCTTGGCCAGCCAGTTCAGGATGAACGCATCGTCTGCAGCTAGTTTTATGGCCTGCAGGGGACAGTCAATATTACATTCTGTTTTACAGTAACCTGAAAAATGAGAGGGCTATGCTCTGACAGGTGCAGAACAACCTATCACCCTGCATAAAGGCTTACGAGAAGTTTTCAACCCGCAGACGAACTGAGGGCAGATACGGTAGTAGACTATAACTCTTCTTGAGCTGGCGCCAAGTTTATAGCCCTTTATACAGTAGGTGATAAGGAAGCAGACATGTCAGCTAATCGTTATGCAAAAGTTCATGATACACTGTGTCATCTGGATGCCTCTGACAGCTGTTAAGGATAAGATGCCAATAAGCAGTCAGAGAGTAAAAGCAAGAGAAAAGTCCCTAGGGCTTTGCTATGGCTTTACTGCTTGTTCTAGTGCGGTTCAGCACTCAAAGTTGGTAAGTCCCACTTTTCTGTGAGTGTTGTACATACAGTTCCGAAGCAGGACAGGGGGTCAGAATCGGAGTAGCCACAGTCGTGTACAGACATGGGCACAGTGGAGAATTCTTCTTTCCTCTCTAACATGATGCCTATGTAGCACCAGGATAGTGCTGTGTAGGAGAGGGGGTCAGGTAGAAACATACTGAATGATTCATCAATACATGTAGGACAGTAAGACACAGCACTGATCTTGTGGGTTCAGATGGAGAGAGAGAGCAATAATAATTTGTTAATTTTTCCCCTTCCTTTCTTCCTTCATGTGTACCTTTGTGATGTGTTTTCTCTGACTTCAGGGTCTCTGTGAACAGCTTCAGTCCCTTGTTGTAGTGAGACAGTCTGGAGTACTCAGAGTCCGCCTTGTTCTTTACAATATCATGTAGTCTACAATAAAATATCAATTTGCTTTACATTGTTCTTACACATGAGCTTGGTGATATTATTTTCCAATTTATTTTCTATGAAAAGATTTGAAACATTCAAGACCTTATATAGATTGTTGCCATTTTGAAATACCAGCTTCTCTTTTCTTCTGTAGGTATCTAAAAAAAAAAAAGCAACATTAACCTTTACAAAATCAATATATTACTGTAGATGTGAAATTACATTATTTGTAAATAATCTAACATGAGATCTCACCAGCTGTCCCCCGTAGTCCAGAGCTCTGTTGTACAGGGTCAGAGAAGCGGTCAGTTTTTCCCTCTGGTCCTCTTCTCTGTCCAGCTCTATGTCATAAGGATGAGCATAGGCCTGCTCTGCCAGGCACCGGGCCGCAGAAAGCCTGGACTCCGCCTGACCTGCCTGCCCAGCCTCCAGACCCATGAGCTGGGACACCTTCTCCACACACTCCCCTGCATCCAGCTCCCTCTGGAGGTGGTCGTACACGTAGCCAAGGTTGGCCCAAGCGTTCAGGTTCCCCGGGTCTTCTTTACAGATGCTCATGAAGGTCTCCTCGGCCTGCTCCAGCTGGTCCAGATGGAAGGCCAGGAGACCCAGGAGGTTACGGACACCATACTGGAGGTACCTGTAATGTTTTGAAAAAAAGAGTCCAGGCCATGTATTATTCATAGTACCAGCTAAAGGGAAATTAGAATTCCAGTTCCATGTTTTACTCCAGCACCATTTGAGCTACCTAGCTAGTGAGCAACAATGTAACTGCCAAAATAATGGAAACGCTTGAGTTAAATTAGGGATACAAAGTATATTGAAAGCAGGTGCTTCCACACAGGTGTGGTTCCTGAGTTAATTAAGCAATTAACATCACATGATGCTTAGGGTCATGTATAAAAATTCTGAGCAGGCCATTATTTTGGCTACGCCCCCATAGGATGACAATGCCCCCATAGGATGACAATGCCCCCATCCACACTACAAATGGTCAATTAATAGTTTTAATGAGCATGAAAATGATGTAAACCATATGCCATGGCCGTCTCAGTCACCAGAGCTCAACCTAATTGAACACTTATGGGAGATTCTGGAGCGGCGCTTGAGACAGCGTTTTTCCACCACCATCAACAAAACACCAAATAATGAAATGTATTGTGGAAGAATGGTGCCGCATCCCTCCAATAGAGTTCCAGACACTTGTAAAATCTATGCCAAGGTGCATTGAAGCTATTCTAGCTCATGGTTGCCCAACGCCCTATTAAGACACTTCATGTTGGTGTTTCCTTTATTTTGGCAGTTACCTGTATGCACACCCATGATTTCAGTAAAGTTCAATTAACAATATCAGACATCCCAAACTCCATTCTTATAACCATAAGATAATGTTACAATACCCAGCTTCAGCCTCCAGCTCAGCCCCAAGAGAGTCCACCTTTAGCTGGGTGTCCCTCCTCCGCAGCTCCCCCGGTCCACTGGGCTCATGGTTCAGGTTGAGGTCCAGGTGGAAGTGACCTGGGATGTACTTCATGCTATCAATGAGGGACTCAATGTCCTCCTCTGTGTTGCCTTCCTCCATGTTTTCCTCCTGTTTATTAATCGCCTATTTAACCAGGTAATTCATTCTCTTTTTTTCAATAACTACCTGAGACTCATATGTCCCCATACACTAATGCTGACTGTCAGTCAAATAACTGGCTGGCTGTTTTCCTCTTCCTCCAGAGGCAGACTGGTAATACAGGTTAGGTTAGGGACTAGGGAGGGGAAGGAGGAAGAAATCTCCCATTCTGGCCTAGCTGGCTACCTCCCTCTCCATTCTTCTCATTTGAATAGTACATTTGAATGTGACTGAACATTCATGACCCCCTTTTTTGTGTATCTCTTTATGATACAATACATGGAGATGTGGATTTTGAATATCTGACTGATAATCAGTAGGGCTATGGTCTTATTTTATGGCTCACGTGTCAGCTTTGGGTTTTTACAGACTAGGAGAGTGGGTTATTGCTTTAGACAGGTGTCACAACAACAGTGGGGTAGGTTGACTTCGTATCTTCTTCACTTTCACTCAACCTTTTAAAACAGTGTAGATTAGGAGTATTATTTTTTTTATGGTACTACCAGTTGTTTTTTCAACCCTTTAAGTGTTTGGCCTCTTATCACCACCAGAGGGTAGACATGCATTGTATTGTATGACAAACTGATATTGAAAGTGTTGTGTACTGACACCACTGTTTATGGAGAGGGAACATTTAATTTATTATGGTGTTGAATTAAAGTTGACTGATATTTCTTTGATAAAAGCTCAAGCATTTCCTATGGTGATGGATAACAGTTAAGTAATATCTCATCTTCACAAATGATCACAAAATAGTTCAGAATATATTTGGGCTGTGTGTGCTGTATGTGCTTTATGAGCTGTGATCTTAGTGAACCAATTACCCTTAACTTGAATAGCCTATAGCATAGAGTTTCACCCAAGTTCGTTATGTGTCTGATCATTTTGACAGCTTGTGTTTTAGTTGGCTAAGGAAGTCGTCTACAGTCTAGACATCAAACATCCATCTAAAATGACGTCTGATTCCTGGGCCAGACTACTAATGTGTCAGAATGATAATGTCTATCATTCAATCTCTATACTGAAAAACATACTTGTGGAGTACTTGATCAGACATCATATTTTACTTCCTCTGGATATTGAGGTAATAGACCCAGTGCTCTTAAATTGAGTTAAATGAAGAGGCCAAGGTTTATAGTATGCTAACAGACATCCCATCAGAGCACCCTTCTCTCCTAGTCAGACATTTGATCAGTAGGCTACACAGACAGACCAACAAATGGTTTGAGTTCTCTTCACCTGAGCTAGAACATTTTATTCCATTGTGTGAATTTTCCTAAATTACTTTAACAGGAGGGAAACCACCATTGTGCTGTCTGCAGCTGTTTGGTGATGTCATCAGTCCGGGACAAGGGCCAGGGAGAACACCAAGGTGAGTGTTGACAGAGAGGATGAGGGGGAAGGAGGGAAAAGGGGAAGGAGAGGAAAATCTGTGCATGAAGTCAGTTTGTTCCTTACTCTCAGTCTGTCATGTAACCTGACAGAGAGTCAGGGTTTCATGGGGTTTCATTTGTGCGTGGTAGTTATCTTCTGTAGTTGATCTGTTGTCTGTCTGTTGAACACATTTGTTGTACATGAAGTCATCTCTGTTCCTTATTCAATCTCAGTCTGCCACGTAATCTGACAGAGTCAGAGCGTTTTCTTGGGTGTCTCTGTGTGTGCTGCAACTAGATGTAGTAGCTGTTAGAAGAGTCTGTTCTACAGTATAATATGTTGTTGTAAAACCTCTAGGGTACAGCTGTTAAGTGGGTAGTTATATATATGATTTTGTGCGGGGGTGGTGTTGAATTATGAATATTTTCACATTACTCCGCCAACTGTTGCCATGGTATTCCCTCTTCCTCAGGTGCCAGTGCATACTTACATAATATAAACATTGGAGAGATGTTAACCCCGAATCATCCTCTAAGATACTTTCCCAGTATTGGAGGATTATGATGTGTGTCCTACATATTGTAAATGTTAAAGGTTTGGTGTTGGGAAACTAAGCCCCAGTTAGCCCAGTTATTAATCGTCTTAACGAGGTCTGTCCTGACTCCTGACACACACACACACACACACACACACACACACACACACACACACACTCTTCCTGTTGAGGAGATATAATGACATGTCTGCTCCATGTGTGACATAAGTCACTGTGATCTCATCTGGCATTCATATACAGCGCATTCGGAAAGTATTCAGAAGCCTTCTCTTTTGTATAAATGTTTGGACATTTATTACAAATAAAAAACAGAAATACCTTACTTACATAAGTATTCAGACCCTTTGCTATGAGACTCGAAATTGAGTTCAGGTGCATCCTGTTTTCATTGATCAACCTTGAGATGTTTCTACAACTTGATTGGAGTCCACCTGTGGTAAATTAAATTGATTGGGCATGATTTGGAAAGGCACACACCGGTCTATTTAAGGTCCCACAGTTAACAGTGCATGTCAGAGCAAAAACCAAGCCATGAGGTTGAAGGAATAGAGCTCCGAGACATGATTGTGTTGAGGCACAGATCTGGGGAAGGGTACCAAAAAAAGTCTGCAGCATTGAAGGTCCCCAAGAACACAGCGGCCTCCAGCATTCTTAAATGGAAGAAGTTTGGAACCACCAAGACTCTTCCTAGAGCTGGCCGCCCGGCCAAACTAAGCAATCGGGGGAGAAGGGCCTTGGTCAGGGAGGTTACCAAGAACCCAATGGTCACTCTGACAGAGCTCCAGAGTTCCTCTGTGGAGATGGGAGCACAAGATTCTCTGGTCTGATGAAACCAAGATTGAACTCTTTGGCCTGAATGCCAAGTGTCACGTCTGGAGGAAACCTGGCACCATCCCTACGGTGAAGCATGGTGGTGGCAGCATCATGCTGTGAGGATGTTTTTCAGCGGCAGGGACTGGGAGAGTAGTCAAGATCGAGGGAAAGAAGAACGAAGCAAAGTACAGAGAGATCCTTGATGAAAATCTGCTCCAGAGCGCTCAGGACCTCAAATAACCTGAAATATGACATTTACATGAGTATTCAAATCAAATCAAATCAAATGTTTTTTGTCACATGCGCCGAATACAACAGGTATACAACCTTACCGTGAAATGCTTACTTACAAGCCTTTAACCAACAATACAGTTCAAGAAATTGTAATGGTGGGCACCAGGCTGCCCACCATTACGCACACCTGTCACCATCGTTAAGCACATCAATGCTTCATTGGACTCACCTGAACTTCATCACTGCTTGGTTACCTCTCCTATATCTGTCTGTTCCTCAGTTTGATCCCCGTGTCTGCATTAATGTTGTTTCGTTTCCGTTGTCCAGACGCTGTCTGTGTTTTGTTCCTGTCTGTTTTTTTCATTAAATGTTCACTCCCTGTACTTGCTTCTCGTCTCCCAGCGTCTGTACTTACAGAAAAAGAGTTAAGAAAATATTTACTAAATAAACTAAAGTAAAAAATAAAATAAAAAATAACGAGGCTATATACAGGGGGTACCGGCACCGAGGGGGGGGGGGGGGGGGGGGGGGGGGGAATCAATGTAAATAGTCCCGGTGGCCATTTGATTAATTTTGTTCGACAGTCTTATAGCTTGGGGGTAGAAGCCTTTTGGACCTAGACTTGGCGGTCCGGTACCGCTTGCTGGTCTTTTACAATTTTTTGGGCCTTCCTCTGACACCGCCTAGTATATAGGTCCTAGATGGCAGGAAGCTTGGCCCCAGTGATGTACTGGGCCGTACGCACTACCCTCTGTTGCGCCTTACGGTCGGGTGCCGAGCAGTTGCCATACCAGGCAGTGATGCAACCGGTCAGGATGCTCTCGATGGTGCAGCTGTATAACTTTTTGAGGATCTGGGTACCCATGCCAAATCTTTTCAGTCTCCTGAGGGGGAAAAGGTGTTGTCGTGCCCTCTTCACGACTAACTTGGTGTGTTTGGACCATGATAGTTTGTTGGTGATGTGGACACCAAGGAACTTGAAACTCTCGACCCGCTCCACTACAGCCCCGTTGATGTGAATGGGGGCGTGTTCGGCCCTCATTTTCCTGTAGTCCTCGATCAGGACTGTGCCTTTTACTGAGGAGTGGCTTCCGTCTGGCCACTCTACCATAAAGGCCTGATTGGTGGAGTGCTGCAGAGATGGCTGTCCTTCTGGAAGTGTCTCCCATCTCCACAGAGGAACTCTAGAGCTCTGTCAGAGTGCCCATCAGGTTCTTGGTCACCTCCCTGACCAAGGCCCTTCTCCCCCAATTGCTCAGTTTGGCCGGGTGGCCAGCTCTAAGGTCTTGGTGGTTCCAAACTTCTTCCATTTAAGAATGATGGAGGCCACTGTGTTCTTGGGGACCTTCAATGCTGCAGACTTTTTTTGGTACCCTTCCCCAGATCTGTGCCTCGACACAATCATGTCTCGGAGCTCTATTCCTTCAACCTCATGGCTTGGTTTTTGCTCTGACATGCACTGTCAACTGTGGGACCTTATATAGACAGGTGTGTGCCTTTCCAAATCATGTCCAATCAATTGAATTTACCATCGGTGGACTTCAATCAAGTTGTAGAAACATCTCAAGGATGATCAATGGAAACCGGATGCAGCTGAGCTCAAGTTCGAGTCTCATAGCAAAGGGTCTGAATACTTCTGTAAATAAGGTATTTCAGTTTTTTTATTTGTAATAAATGCGCAACAATTTCTAAAAACCTGTTTTCGCTTTGTCATTATGGGGTATTGTGTGTAGATTGCTGAGGAAAATGTTTTATTTAATCCATTTTAGAATAAGGCTGTGACGCAACAAAATGTGGAAAAAGTCAAGGGGTCTGAATACTTTCCAAAGGCACTATATTATTATATATATTTTTTTCCTGTTTTGTATGTTATTTTGGTATTAATACGTGTCACATATCAGTTTGCAAACAATGTAAAAATATATATATAATTGAGTTAGTATAGCCGCATACAAACATGGTCTCTTTTTTGCTTTCTTGGGTAAGGCAACTCCAAAATGCAGGTGTTTCAGCCTAGCTCAGTGCTTTCTGTGGTGGTGGGGCAGCCAGCAGAAAATACAGAGTGTAGGGGTTGGTAATGTTCTCTAGTTGCGCTGTGATTGGCTCAGTGTTCTGTCACTCATGGGG